AATCACCAATTAACCTCAACATGTTTTTGGACTGTGTGGGAGGAAGCCGGAGAACCCGGAGAGAACCCACGCTGCACGGGGAGAACGCAGAAAGATTCCGGTGCCCTCACCGGGACGCGAACCGGCAGCCCCCGGAAGCAATGGACCAAGGCGATGCCCGTGCAGTAATCCTCAGATCAGGTGGCACCAGCCTGGCTGATGCTTTTTATTCTGACAAATTTTCAGTCCAAAACCAGTTTAATACAGTTCCAGGTAGACTAGCTCATTCCCTAGATGCTAAATCAAGATTACAGTAGTTGCATCTTAAGATCAGACTAAACTGATCTAAGTCTGCTATCACCACATACAGTTTCTTAGAAATTATATATATATTATAACATATATCAAGAATAGTTTGCAATATTCAAGTTCCTGACAAATTAAAAAGGAATTAATATATTTCACCAGTTAAGCTTCTTTTTCCTCAAATAATTCACATAATTATTTTGTTTTTGAAATTGTCACATTAGACAAACTGGAACCACTGGATATTGGGTCCATGACGAATGTGTTAAACCATAAATACATTATCAAAATACACTTAGGTGTTATCAGAGCTAGTACAGTTCCTGTTTAATATATGCCTGTTCAGAACATCACAGTTGCCACATTGTGAGATATTGCTGTGGTGTGCAGTTAGTCAGCCCTCAGGGGCCCCTAACAGCCTGAGGGTCCCATGCAGTTGTCAGCCTGCCTGTTCCCATGCTGTCCTAACAGTTGTGAAAGCATAACAGGAAACAACTTTTAAGCAGAATATCAGACACCACATCCACATGACTTGAACCTCGATACAGTCCTCCTGTGGGGCTGCAGCGATACATCTGACAAGTGTGAAGCAGATCAAATGGTTGTTGAGAAAAGTGAAGAAAACGCACACATAAGATACATACTTTAAGCATATTTATACTAATGGTTGTTGTCTGGACTAGTTTGTTTTAAGGTTCATCCACTTCCAACTCCCTATGCAGACATTACAGTCCTTGATGACCAGTTGTCAGTCCACACCTGCGCATTTTTTATACCTTATTTTGAATCCTCTTATGCAAATAGTAAAGCAACTGCTTTAGGTGGATGTCTGTGAATTCTACTGCTAATGCAAGAATTCCTGTCTGTGCTGGATATGAGGGCTCTCATGATCTTCAGTAGACATCCATAAGTTAGATAGGAAGTCAAAGTCCATGTAAGGTATTTTGTTATTTAATTTTCTTGATTTATGGGACATCTAGATTTTAAAGGTTTTCATAATCTTCCTCTCTGTTTGTAATGTGAACAAACATGATGATAAAAGAACTCCCCCCACTACAAATTTGTTATTTATGGTGTTTCGTTCTGAGCTTCCAAAACTAGGATGCACCAGCTTTCACTCAGGTCTTGTCGTCCGAGTGATTACTCCCTTCATGTCAAACACTGTGCTAACTAAGAGGTGAGAGACATCCAGCCTCAAATGAAAGAAAGCTGCTCCCTCAACATTTTGTTTTGTTTTGAGGTTATGACATAACGCATTGGTTTGACACATAAACATTACAAAGGTATTGGTGCCCAGGGAAAACAATTGTTTGTTACAGAGCCAAGAATAGAGCCTTCCCTCGGCGGAGAGAGCGTGACACACCTGCGTATCCTGTTTCAATTGACCAAGCATTAGAGAAGTGCACAACAACATGTACATGAACACACAGAGACACATACATTACATAACAGCGAATGAGACACAGTACCGAATGTTCCCTTGGTAGGCTATTGCATTCACACGAGCCTTATTTGATTTAAAAGGAAGAACAGTGTATTACACCTGGATCCATTCTCGTGTAATTCTTCTGTGTGTAAAGCTGTGTGTGTGTGTTTGCTGGGGGGTCTTGACCTGTGCACACTGTCTGCTCTTACATGTCTTGTTAGTACTAGAGCTCTCTGTGAAGTCGACAATGCTTTTAAAGCACATTGCATCAGGGTTACAGTTTGCATCTTAGCTGAGGCTCCAGAGTGAAATGCAACTTAAAATGTGAGGATTTCTAGAACTTAGCATATGAGTCCCGTTTCAGCTTTGCAAGGATGTCTGTTTTAAATAATATTGCTGGTTCCAAAGTGCCACATGATCTCTCCTGAGTCTCCAGTGATTTCTGTAGCCCCAGCTGCCCTGCATTGTCTTTGATATTCACAACTGCTCCTAATTGCTCTGATATATTTAAGCTTGAGTCTCTGAACAATCTCCTGTCAGTTCATTAAGATGCAGAAAGGTTGTTTGAGTTTGTCAGCTAAAGTTCCTGCTTACCAGTTTTTAACCTGCTCTTGATTCTCACCTCAACTCAGCCTTCAACTTTCTTTAATACCCTCTTTTTACCCCCTCATTTGTTTCATGCTTTCACCAGCACATCCACAGTGCCCCAGACAATCCTCCACAACCACTCATCAAGCTGTACATCCGTAACCTTTTTTCTTTTCACATAAAATGCAAATAAAACTGCCTCAACACTTCAGCAGTATTTGCCCTGTGTTTGCTGGTGGCTCTGATTCGGTGCATCGTCTCAAATAAAACAGCTGATTTTGAAAATGTTCAATAAACCACAGAAATGACCCCATTTTTTGTGATAAACTTGTATAGAACATGGCTAATAAGAATTATGGCACCTTTAAATGGCAATTGTTTGCCTGTCTTGTACAAATTCAGTTTTTGTTACAGATGCAGATGTTTTTCAGAATATTTTAGAATATATAGAAAAATTTGCCAGATGATTTACTCTTATTAGGTCAACTAATATTGATACTACATTGAAGACATAAATACTTTTCACAAATTACAGTAGGCCAGTTTGTGCCCTATGCCTACGTAAACCTGCATGTTGTTCCAGTACACTCATGAGAATATATGTTCCTGTATGAGTAATGAACCAGCCCCTCTGCTCGGCCTAGCTTTGTTAGGTAAACAGCAGAAATGAGGAGGGTGAAAAAAAGCATGCTAACATGACACAGGACCACAGAAAAACATGCCCTTCCTCTGTTAACCTCAATAGGGAGTATATTAATTGATCACTTATCTTGATGGATGAAGACAAAAAAAGGAGATCTCTTTGTGGGAGTATTTTTGCTCTGATTTGTTTGTGTTCTAACCTTGAGACCATTTCCTGCTTTCCCGTACAAGATTGTGTACATACGGGAAAAATATCAACATAGCGTGAAGGATATTATCACATATCGTATGACCAAGCTACTCTATGTTAAAATAAGGGGAAAAACATCCACTGAAAAGGGAGCTTTTAGCTGCTGTACAGAAAGCTTTGCTGCAGTATAGTTAGATTTTCAAAAGTGTTTTTGTTTGGTTTTTACCTCCTCCTTTTACCCTTTGATTCATATGTTCTTTCCAGATGGACTGCCTGCATTCCGGACGTTCCTCAAGACAGAGTTCAGTGACGAGAATATAGAGTTTTGGATGGCCTGCGAAGAGTACAAAAAAATCAAGAGCTCAGCCAAGCTTGTGTCAAAAGCCAACAAGATCTTTAAGGAGTTCATTGATGTTCAGGCACCAAGAGAGGTTTGTTATGTGTAACTGGTGTAAATGCATTCTTCAATAGATGACTTGAGGGTATGAAAACATCATCGTATATTTATATGATAGAGATAATAGTTGTGCCTTGACAAAGACTTAAGGAAGAACCAAGGATAAACCTGTTTTTCAAATATACCCCCTAACCAATGTATGTAATGCATTGTCCAATTGTGAGGTTTTGTTCTTTTTTTGACCTTATTCAAAAATAACATCCAGTCAATTAAAGGACCTCACTTCTACCTCTCACAAAAAGAAGAAAACATGTTTTTGTTTTATTAAATCTCAGCAACAAGCTAATTCTCATGAGCATTTTCTCACACCACTATGGTTGTGGTTAAATCTATGTAGCCTACAAAACACTGTTTGTTGGGTGGCCCGATGGGCAAGTGGTTGGAGGATGTACCACATCGTCAGTTGACACCTTGCTTACAATACATCTCCACATGCATCTCAAGTGACTACTTGTGACTGGCTCTTATGTCCCTGCTCTATATGAAAATAAATGCATACATCATTTTCATTTGCAATGACCAAATGCAATGTTTTTAACCAGGCAGCCATGTACCTCCCATGACTAGCCTGTGAAGAGGACTCCTCTTCTTCAAAGTATGACTCAGTGGGCTTTTCTACATTCTCAGATGTTGTGAACAAAGCTAGCTTTTGTGATTTGAGAAAGATTATATACTTTTGCAGAATATGTCAGTTGAGTAGGTGCAGAGCAGACCATCTCATCGAATGTGGCCTGAGTGGTCAGATCTCAAAGTGTCTTGGGGGAATTCTCACCAGAACTTAGAGCTGGCCAATTGTGATCAAATCACCCAAGACATATGTTGATGCCAACAAAACGCAAATTTAAAAATGCCCCAAAAAACCCTACTTGACTGAATTTAAAAGTAGTTGCTACATCATGGTTAAGACTTTTCATTGATTGTTAGTAGGACACCAAAACATCACTACAACATCCATCCTTTGTCCCTCACATCCAAGTCCTAATGCAACTAACCCCAAAAACTCATTGACAGGAGCTCTGTAAACATAGGTTATTAACAAATGGAAAATACTGCATTTTTTAAAGCTCCACCACATTTTTATTTCCTCTATACAAACTATCAGACTCAAGACAGATCAGTCATTCCAACTTGATCTACATTTACATTTTTTCCCTATGTGACTAAAATGTTAAGGGGCTGTCTTTTGTCTCCATTCTAACAGATAAACCTTGACTACCGCACCAGGGAAAGGACCAAGCAGAGCTTGTCGGATCCCAAACCAAACAGCCTCAATGAGGCCCAAGCTAAAATCTACAGCCTCATGGAGAAAGACTCCTACCCACGGTTTCTCAGGTCCAAGATGTACCAGGATATAATCAACAGGGCACAAGCGCAAGGCCAGCGGAGGTCTGTTTAACCAAATTTGAAGACCACAGCGGACATGATACTGGACCTATACTGTAGATCATTCATTAACCCTTTGACATCATCTCTTAATACTGTGAATCTGCAAAGATGGGGTGACCTGCTTGACTGTTTCCTTTGTCTGCACCAGCTCCATGCATGCAATCCCTGTCGATAATATGCGTCTCTACGGACTGCACAGGACAGAGGAGTGATTGATGATGATAAGCTAACTGTTTACCTCTGCTCAGTGCTGGCCGATATGTCTGAAAATATCACAAATAAATGCTAAATTAAAAATCACAATAAAATGACTATATCATGAAATTATTATATATTTATCACTTTACATAGTGAATTCTCTGATAACTCGGTTATTTATTTAAAGTCAGTCATACACATCAGTCAAACATAATTAAAGATAGGTCCACTGGACAAAATGTTTAAAATGACATGAAATACGCAAAAATATTTTCTTTTTTTTTTCTTAATGGCCAGAAACACCAAAAAGACAAAAACAGCAGCAAAGCGAGTCTAGTTGGAGTGTAGATTTTTATTTTTATTTTTTTCTAAAACCATTTCCAACATAAAGAAACTTCAAACTTTAGCTTAAAACTAACAATGTGAGAACACATAGTGTATACCTTTTTTTTTTTTTTTTTTTAAGACCGAACAATGACAACAGATTGTCCTAAAATGATGCACATTTCTAATGCAAAAATAAATGGATTGTCTGGTTGTGATCCATTTTTGTAATGCTAACCATTTATCATAACCATTATAGCTGTATTTATTAAAGGACATCATCTGCATATATTACAACCAATACGTACTGAAGCCTGAATGATCATTAGGTTTTTTTCCAGGTTTAAACAAATATGAACCATGTGGGCTCCTACCAGCAGCAGTAAATATAGCACAGATATTTTAAACCTCCTATTAGGTGTAAGCACACCAAGTTTACTGGAAACTCTAGGTTTGGGTTATATTGGAGAGCCTTTACGTTATGGTTGGAGTAACAAACCCATAGTTAAGGTTATGAAAGTATCAGGGTTATTGGTTTGAAATGCACATGGTTTCCTAAATGTTTTGTCGACCCATCCATCCACCCCAACCTTTTCCAGATGTGACTCTACATCATTTTGCTTCTTCCTTTCACTCACATCGTATGACTTCGACAACTGAGGGTGCTCACACAATGAAACATGCAGTAGATACGGGTCGTAACAAGTTGTTTGCACAAATAAGCTTTTGGGTTGTTTTTTTCTTGGGAGGACAGTCTTATTACAGCAGATGGTTGGTGTTTTTTGGGTCAGACTGTAAGACTGAAATAACATCAAACTGGTGACTTGGAAGAATATTTTTGCCAACATTTTCACTTTCTTTATCTTAACCTGCTTCCTCCTCTTCACTGCAGTGTATATACATTTACAATAGAAGGTTGTTGACTTTCTCTGTGTGCTTTGTCTCCTCCGTAGAAGTCCAGTACACGTAACCCAACTGGATTTACTCAAGGCATTGTAATGGAGTTCTTTTGTTGTATTTCATCACTGAGGAAAGTATAATGAGATAATCATCATTATCACTTGATTTCCCAGACCTGCCACTACTCATCCTACTTTCTTTGTGAAATAGACACTGTTGTATGCAGAGATTAGACCTGTTGTGGTAGTTTGTGTGTTTACATTGAACAACAAAGTGAGTGACCAGTTAATATCTGAAACTGTGCCAAAATAATAAGTTGCACTTATATATTGATACTGCATAATCCTGTGTATTGTAAACTATTTCAGGTATTCTATGTGATATTAAATGTTGAGTATAACACAGGGTTGGGTTCATTTTTGCTTTCAGTTGAAGAAATGGAGATTCACTATCACCCCATTCAACATATTGTACATGGTTTATTCAGTGCATCCTATTAGAGCAATCATTCATAGACAATAATTAGTTTAATTAGGCTTTATTTAAGCCATGCTTTTGAAAAAAAAAAATCATTAAATGTAACTGTTTTGCTTTGGCTTCTCATCAACATTGGTCTTAGAAAGTTTGATGCAATGACTCATTTTTTGCATTAGCAAAGTTTGGAAGTGCTGCTTAAAAAGCAATTGAAATGCCAAACTAAAATAGAAATTGCATAACTAATTTGCTCAAATATGGACTATAATCAGTAGTCAGCACTTCGTTAAACTGAATATGACACACAGGTGCTGCAGTGCTGTTTGCAGTGCATTTAAAGAGTCAGCCCAACCCTCACAGAATCTGTTGAAAAAATGTGTTGTCCTAAATGTATTTTTTACGGAAGCCGAGAGCGGTCATGGCCGCACATTTTTTTAAACGGTATTTTCTCGAGATAACGAGATAATTATTCCGTTGACAGTTTCGGCTGTCACTTCAGCCTTCATCAGAAGTTGTCGGACTTCCTGGTGTGACGTATCTTATATAGACAGCTGACCGAGAACTCCGACATGACGTGTCATGAGAACAGCTGACCGGGCACGACAACTTACAATGAAGCGCTCGTGCCCGGTCTCGTCTGTCCTCCGGCCCCCCGCTGGTGACTGAGGATGGAATCCCAGGTGTGTGGGAGGTCCCACACACCTGGGATTCCATCCTGGACCGGGCACGAACGGGCAAACACAAACACCAATTATCTCGTTATCTCAAGAAAACGAAGTTGGCTTTCTCGAGATAAATTATCTCGTTTTCAAGAGAAAACAATTCTTGTTATCCCGAGATAACGAGAAAATTAACTCGTTATCTCGAGAAAACGGCGAAGAAAGAACAGTAGCGGAAAACGACCGCTCTTGGCTTCCGTAATTTTTAGCATGATGCAATACTCAGAATAATTATTTAGATATTCTTTGACTTGTACAGTATGTTATGAAAATTACTGCAAAAAACAACTTAATCTGTGTGCTCCCTCAGCATTTGATGTGCTCCCTCTGCATTTGCACTTCTTTAAATGACCAAACTGAAAACTTTCCTGAACATTTAAAGGGTGACAAATACTTCCTGTCGTGCATGTGTGCCATGTAGGCCAACCTGTGCACAATATGAGCATATTGCCATATATGGTATGTTACTGTGTTCCTTCTGAATGTAGCCTTCCCTTTATATCTTGCGATTAAAAATAAATATGCATCTCTATTTTGTGGACTGTGTGACTTCTTTTTTTATAATACCGAAAGGGTATTAAAGCCACAAAAATGCACTCATCCTCTGACTAGACAGATGGATTGACCCAGTTTGTAATGCAATTTCAATAAATGAAAACTGACTTCTCAATCTAAGTGATTTCTCCCTATATTTCAATATACATTTTTGGAGAAGAGATTTAGTATTGCAATGTTGTGTTTCCTATTTACCATTCTGAGAACACAATGACGGTGACTGGTGAGCAGCCAAGTGAGTTAGTTTCCTCATGACACATTTTAAAACTTTACATTTGTTTCCACATCCTGAGTTTAGATGTTCCAGCTAGTTTATCTGCAATGAGTCACATTTACTTTTAGAATGATGCAAAACTAAAAACAGCACTATCATCAAACATTCATGGCACGGTTTCAACTTAGCAGCAGCACCACTCAAAAAGAAAACTCTAACATTCTTAGTATTTGGAGCACTGTTTTGGATGGAGTCACCCACTGGACCATTACACATCCATTAACGTTCCCGTTGTTGTCGATGTGTTAGTCACTCTGGGAATGAAGAGCAGGTTGAATGTGGGACAGCACTCTGGCTGGCTAGACACAACACACACCTATCTGGGCCAGTAGACTGCAAACACAGCCAACGCATGTCTCACTGTGGAGTAGATCCCAAGCAGAGCATCAACCCAGCCCGTAATGACTCATCTAACTTATCTGTGGTTTTGAAAAGGTAAATTACTGGAATGTAATTGGACATCAGAGAGTTAATAAACCATGTGTAGGTGCTGCTGCCTTCGGTTAAGTGCTCCATTATCAACGCCGGTGCTGTCTTGATGCTCTTGTGGTTATAAATACACTTTCACATAATGGGATAATTCAGCTGAAAGGCAAACACATGCACTACTTTACAAGCAGCAACTGGGAGAGTGATTGATTCCCTGTGCAAACCTTGGATTCCCATAATGAAAGTGAGAGCACTCTGTTTTCAGCTTGACCAGTTGTTGTTAAAACCTCAACCGTCTTCCCTTAACTGCACACAGGAAAGACAAAGATTGGTGAGGTTTATAATTGACACCATCTAAAATAGAATAAATACCAGAATAATCACATTAGTGTTGTTCAGTCTCTTTGTTATTCTATCTCTTTGTTCCTGTCTCTCCTCTACAGCTCTCCAATATCTCTCCTCTATCTGCTACTCTTTCTCCTCTATCTGTTTCTCTGGTCTCTTAATCAATAGTAAACACAATACCCATGGTGCAGCACTGCTATGACTATGGATCATGGGGAGGATGAGAGAACAGTTGATTACTCATCCTGACAAACAACAGAAGCAGTGTGGGGAAAAACAACAAAACATATTGGATTGTATGTTTCGCAACAACTTTAATAAAGAGGTACATTTGTTTTGTTAGATATTGCACTGCTTTCTTTAATGGTGTTGGATGTAAATGTGAAACTCAATTCTATGCCCACAAGAAGTATAAAACACTCCAGCATGGAACATTTCAGGGTTAGTCATTGTTTTGATTTTATGGCACATTTCATTTACAGTTTACTCACAGCCTGAACATCAAAACAGTTTCTTTTATTTTTTAGTAAGCAAAAATGGAAAACCCACTGTTCATTGTCCCAACAATAAACAACAAAGCTAACAACTAGAAAACATGACTATCTAATAATTGACGTAAATATCTAAGCAGTGTTCTTTGTTGGGGCTGAAAGAGACCAAACCAGAACTAAAATCTCAGAACCCCAAAACTTGTGCAGGTTTGAAAAGCATCCTTCCTTTTTTTAAAAAAATGCCAAAATGACTCTATTATCAAAGCAAGAAACTTGCAAAAGTGACTGAGAGGAATTTACAATATACTAGATTAACAAAATAATAGCAGCATGCCTCTTCTATTGTATGCACAACACCCATCTCTGGGCGCTTTAAAAAGAAAAAAAAAAAAAAAGTAAGAC